GAGTATATTCAAAATGGCAGACAAGAGTTCTTTTTGGTTTTGTGACTTGCTAACTACCAGGTCTCAAATTTGAGGCAATATTTTGAGGCTAAAGCTAGAGACTGTTTAGTGAATAGTAACTAGTCACAAATTGAGATTTTACTACAAAATGTCTCAAATAGAGATTAGAGACTGCTTACAGAATCCCGCTATAAGTCCAAAAGAATGTGCTCTGTTGTATTTTTTAATATTACTGTTGAGTTTTTGTAGGTGATCGTTAAAAGATATTTTGTATGTGACAAAGCAACGCTGATGCTTTCACCAGTTTCCAAACGTTCCCTTTGTGAATTTGTAGGTTGCAATCCACATTCCATTACAACTGAATGTCACTTTCAAAATTTTCAAGGAATTGAACTGGTGATTTAAAGTAGGATTATTTCCATAGAAGTTGATAGATTTATTTAAGTCAATAACGACAATAAATTTGGCGCATATGCATATTGGTTAGTAAGATTTAAAATTTTTTGGAAATGGATAAATTTGTTACTCGAATGCCATCTTGGCAAACGGTAACCTACACAAGTACGCTAAATCGATCCAGAAATAAAGAGCCCCAGGATATAAATAAAGTTGTGAAAAAGAAGCCATTGCGTGAAAGCCAACTACAAAAAATCGGAATCGATTTAAGTCCATCCTTGCAGAATAATCGGCGATTAAGCATACGAGACGAACATTTATTGAAAATATTTGCCAGCAAACCTGATCAGCCATTAATGCCGTCAAAAGAAAATAGTGCATTGAGCAGTAGTTCGGATTGTTCTTTTGTGCGTTTTAATGACATAGCACACCCTCCTATTGACAATAATCAATTATTGTTTGTGGAAAAACACAACTTGCGTAAGTACACCGCACCGAAAATAGAAGCAATGACTTTGTTTTCAATATTTTGAAAATTAAGACTGTCAAATATATTTTTCACACAAAAAAAAATCTCACAAAAAGCTATAAAACTAAATTTCATGTGTACTAAATTATTTATAATAAATGGTAAGCGAGTTCCAAGAGGTTGTTGCCTTTTACGTTATCTGTGATGTGAGGTTTTCAATGGGTAGCACTGCTAAAATTTCGCGCTGTCATTTTCTGACATTGCGAATGATAACAAAATGAAAAGAAAATGTGAAGAAATATTTTAAGTTCCTTAGTTTGTTGATCTCATTTAGTGTTTGTAATATAAATTTATCCTTTCTTTTGTTTCCTGCGCCCACTCTTCAACATGCGCATGCGTATTATCGCATTTCAAAACAACCCACAGGCGAATTGAGCGACTATGTGAGCAGTCCTGATGCTATGCCTCAACGAGAAAAGCTCCTTATTTCCCAATCGCCACCAGAAACTTTTAATGAAGTAATTTATGGAGATATCGAAAACAATCCCGTAGAAATTGCAGTTGGTTCTCCTATCTCAAATATTGAACACATAACTAAAACGCAAATAACCAGAAATAACACAAAAGAAACCTCTAAACAAATAACATTTAGTAAAAATCCTCAAATGGCACGCATACATCGTGATCTCAACAGTCCTTCAGCATCATTGCGTGTCCGCGCGATCAGAGCTTTAAAGTAAATAATTTGTGAAAGAAATTGATTATATGTAATTTGAACGTTTTTTTTTTATCATTAGAAATCCTGTAAATCATGGTTACACAAACTTTGATATCCCACATGAAGAACAAAACATTATAAGCTTAGAAGAATACCATCCTTCTCCACCACCATCAATAGAGGAACTCATGCGCGACATTATAGTGTATGTTGAAGTGCGTACTGGCGAAGATAATCGATCAGAAGGAGTGAAGAAGGTTATTTCACAACTAGGTGCACGCGTAAATGACAAATTACTAAGGTATTCAAAGTTAATTTACTTATGATTTTTCAGTTATTATAAAGTATCAATATTTTCAGAGATACAACACATGTGATATTTAAAGATGGTTTGCTGTCCACGTACAAAAAAGCGAAAAACTGGAACATACCAGTTGTTTCGATTTTGTGGGTTGAAGCTTGCAAAAAAAAACGGATGATATGCGATCCAAATGAGTTTCCAATATCAAATATAGATCGCTATGAAAACCCTGAACTCTACGAAAAAATGAAGGTAAGTCGATGTTTATTTCTTGAAGTACTAAATGCAAATAATTTATAATTTCTGTGAAGAAGATATGAGGAATAATAAGTCGTATAAATGCAAACCGGTTTACTAGAAATATTTAAATGAATTAGTTGTCAGAAATGTGTCGATGCTACTGGTTTCGACTTATGTGTAATTGCTTTTAAATGTAATGAGAGACTTGAAATGCTGTAATATTGGATTAACTTGAAAAACGCCACCATGCACTTAAAACAAGTTGACTATGCTACAAACATACTATTTCTCTCTGTGGCAGAATTTATTATAATAATGCTTCACAAAAATTATTTATGGCTCTTCGATTCGGATGTTTCAAATGGATTAACTCCCTTGCCTTGATGTAAATAATAGCTACAAATGAAGTGTTGTTGTTGTTGTAGCGGCAGAATCCTACCTAGTTGACAGTCCTAAACCCGATAATAAATGGGTTAATTCCGGGTACGTAGGCTCGACTGTGGTGGGAAGTGTTATAATACAAGGCTTTAAATTTAAAAGCTTGAAATGCAATTCCCATAAGGAGAGAAGTGAATTTTCCATAACAATATCACCTAACGACAATGAGAGATCCCAAATAGAAAATGTATGTTGAATAATATAAGTGGTTGCATAGTTTACTGATTGCATTAAAATATTTTATTGAGAAGCAATTACATGTCACATGTACATTCATGGAAATAAAGATAGTATCGTGAAGTAATAACGTATAATCCACTCAATTTCCTGAAACTAGAAGTATTAAATTAATTATTTGCATGGAATATTATGAGATTTCAAGTATTTGCAACTTTATGAGCTACTAGCTTGTTCTCACGAACACATTTAAAATGAATTCGGCAAAAGAAAACTCGTTAAATTTAAATCTTCGAAATGAAGAAATATAAAACTTTACCACAAAATACTGATTAATGATTAAGAGTTGTCATCGACGTCTTCTAACCAAGGGGTGTAGGGAAATTGAGATTCTTGTTGTATGCAGGAAGGGATACTTTTTAAGCAAAAGTTGCAGCCGTTTCAAAAGCGGATGTTTTAACATCCGGATCGTCTTATACAGGCATAGTGTTATGAAGGTGTAAATGGCGTAGATTGTATATTTGTAGAATACATCACTTGGTGTTTGCAACTGTATTTTTTTTCCAGAAAGTTAGTGAAATTTATTGTAATAAAAATTCTTTAAATAATATTTCATTTTTTTTTTTGCTTCGTCCAAAATTTAGCACTTAACAACACTATTATACTCTTTGGACCAAGTTACTAAGGTATAACAACACTCCTGTTATATCAGTTATTATTGTAACAGTTGCAGTACAACATTCCTGTTATCATGTTAACAATATGTTAACATAAAAATATATGTAAATCTTTATTGGATAGTAGTAAGGACCCAATAACAACAATCATAAACGAAATAATAGTCATTGTACTTATATTTTAACTTTTAAACGATCAACTCTTGAATAATATCATTTAGACGTAATTCATATCTTTATCTAAAAAAAATCTAATGTATTTATAAAAAATTATACAAAATGAAGAATTGAGGAATCCCAAAACAATGAAAGAAAGAAAACTTTAAACAGACTTGCAAATGAGATATGTGCAAGCAGGATTAAATAGAGCTTGTGTAGTTTATTTGCCTTTTTGAAGATAACTCAGTGCACGTATCTGCCTTTATCTGTGTACATCACAAATTATCGTGACATTTTAAATTTATCAGAATTTAATTTAGCTATCTTAATTGTTGTTGTTGTATGTAGCTAATTACTTGCGTATAGTAACTGTTGAAAATAAACGTTGATTGATTACCAACGTCTTGTTTGGCTTCCAGCGGAAATTGTTTACCACAATATTTCATCGCTACTGTGTATACATATAAACTATTTGCACTCACAAATAAGTATGCCACCTTCACTTTAGGTCAATATATATGTATATATTTTTCTTCACTAAATTACTTAGTTTTTTCTCTGGTCAAAACATAAAACATACTTAGAAACTAATTAAATTATACTGTATCTAACAAATATTATTTTAATGAGTTATATTAAAGTATGCCATTTAAGTAAAATGATGGTATTCGCTTTAATAACTTTTTGCGAGCCAGAAATTTCTAAAACAGTAGTGTTTACAAGAATTCTTAATTTCAGTAAATATTTACAAAAGTAATACTCAGTTGTCCGTTTTATGAGATTTTTTAAAAAGTACAAAATATTAATGCGTTAACTTTTCATGAAAATTGTGCTCGGCTATCGTACATATTTCAAACGTAATCGCAATTTTCATATTTAAGCGACTTAGCGAGCATTAAAATCACGGTACACACATGTATTTAATGTTAAAGTACATATATACAGAATTACATCAGAACACACGCATTTACATCCGTAAATAGTAATTTAAAAAATAGATGGGCTTTTGTACCAAATCAGTGTGACTGATCAAGCGATTGTTGTAGCTTTGTAAACGCAAAATATTGTACTTGTAGTTAATAATATAACAAATATAACAACGGCAGTAGTAGTAACATCAAGATAGGGTAACTTCAAGGCACATCATTATAAGGAATCCTGCTACCGTGCCCCAAGTGGCAATCGTTCCATTGCCACTGGCATGAGCTTCTGGCAATATGTCATCCGCAACAATATATATCATTGCGCCGGCTGCAAATGACAGTGCATATGGTAATATGAGATTGGCAAATGTCACTGCAACTGCACCCAAAATACCAAAAATCGGTTCCACCATACCAGACAGTTGGCCATACCACAATGCACGTGCCACGCTAAAGCCAGCTGCGTGTAAAGGCAGACTTACAGCGAGGCCCTCTGGAAAATTCTGAATTCCAATACCAATTGCCAAATTTCGAGCAGCTTCAAATGTGGAAGATTCAGTACTGCCTATTGCGCCGAAGCTGACACCGACTGCCAGACCCTCGGGAATGTTATGTACGGTTATTGCAACAACCAGTAACATAATACGTTTCCATTGCGCCACTGCGTTTTCAAGGTTACGTTGACTATCTGTTATGTATGTACGCTGAGCTTCTAATTCGGCTGCACTGTTTTTTTTGCGACGTCGTGGCTCAAGGTTGCCGTGTTGTGTACTCAAGCAATCGGAAAAACTATCCATGCTTTTTGTTACAGTTCGATCCAAAACACCTTGACTATTACGTATATCATTGATAGCAATATCAGCCTTATCCTTATTCGTTTGTGTCATCGAAATCATCATATTTGTGCTGTTGAGCCCAAGATACGACATAAGCCTATCACAACCATACACAAAGATAGCACCCAAAAGAAAACCACCAGAAACTGGCATAAAGGAGTAAACGCCATACAGATGTGAACTCTCTGCCATTTCTATGGCGGGATTTAAAAGTGACCAAAACGAAGCAGCAATCATGACACCAGCGGCGAAACCTAATGCAGCATCAAGTGACTTGCGTTGATTGCCGCGCACAAATATCACACACGCTGCACCCGCAGCTGTTAATCCCCATGTAAAAAGTGTACCCAAAAGGGCTTGCATCACCGGTCCGTACCCAGGAATCATTATGAGGTCTTGGCAAGACAAATTGTATTCAATGAGCGTTGCTTATCTATATAATGCGAAATACAAAAGTTTTTTAATTATTATTTCTCAATAGAAAAAAATGCGAAGATATACATACATATGTATTTTTCTATGAAATGCAAACGTTTGACTAATAATAGAAATATACTTACCGAGAAAAATCACACGTAAGCCAGATCACAACCTCTACTTAATGTTTACTTCCCTTGATTACTTTAGAAAATGCCACGTTCTAAGCGCTAATAGCCTTCAGAAGTAAATGCAACTTTGGGAAATCACCAAGTCGGCGTTTTTTACGATTAACCCAGTGATTTATATTGAGATTTGCCAAGAAACGTAGCAAATACTTTTTGTATCTTTCTGCCGTACTATCGAATCCATTAACGTATTTTGTGGTGCAAAAACAAAACACAGTTTGCTAATATGACCAACAAGAGCTCCACAGATTGTTGCTCCAACTTCAAGCTACAACAAATGAATACAACACAAATTGAGAGCGTTGGCGATTGTCAACTGTCAGAAGTCTGCTTGTTCTCTTGCTGCTTTTTATTTTCTGCTGCGGTCATATGCTGAAAGTGGCAGCAGATAAAACAAATATACGCATGGTTGCATTTACAAAGCAACAATTTTGTGTGCATACAATACCTATGTAACAGTAGCTATCGTCTCCTAAAGTTAAAGTGGTTTTTATTATATCATTTTTCCTTCGCCTGTAAACTTATAAAAGTGATTTTGCATTTAGGTAACGCTATGATAGTAAGTTTCAAAAGTTAAAAAAAAAATACTATAATTTTTTTTAATATTTGATTGCATGTATAACTTTAAAATTCAGCTTAAAAAAAGGGTTAAATTTTAAATTTTTCACGGCAACCCTTACACATATATGCAGCACAGCGATGAATCGAAGCAAAACAGAGTAAAACGTTACGCGTTATAACGATAAATAATTTAAATTTGATAATGTCAAGCAAAACGACTTGTGTCGCACGTACTTATATGTAAATAAATGCAAGCAAGAAGCGCTAGTTTGAATAGTACTTTTTATATCCATGGGCATGAAACAAAGTTGGCAACAGCAACAACGCCACCTTCACAAATTCTTAGGTTTAAAATATGACTATCAACATAAAGGAAAAAGTTGTTTATATACTTAATGCGTAAGGCTGTATGTATGTACATATATCTGCGTCTTTAAACTTATCTCATATAATAAGTAACACTGATTTAAATAGCTACGAGTACTTCACTACATCGCTTCCGCGGTGAGTATTAGATTTGACACTGACAAATGAATAAAATATAACTACCAGCTGGGGGGGGCCACGCCTATTGAGCCAAGAAAAAAAGTGTCTATTCATTTTTTGCATTACAAGATAATGATATGTATATATATTTCAAAAGGGATCGATTAACTCTACTAAATGTCACTATTGTCAGCCTGATAGAAAATAAAAGATTTTAAAATATTAGCTTAACTCGTTAAAAAATTAAATTTCTCGTATAAAAAACACACAATATTAGCTTAACTTGTTAAAAAACTAAATTTCTGATTTAAACAACACACATTTTTATACTCTCGCAACAAAGTTGCTAAGAAGAGTATTATAGTTTCGTTCACATAACGGTTGTTTGTAAGTCCTAAAACTAAAAGAGTCAGATATAGGGTTATATATACCAAAGTTATCAAGGTGACGAGTAGAGTTGAAATCCGGATGTCTGTCTATCCGTCAGTGTAAGCTGTAACTTGAGTAAAAATTGAGATATCTTAATGAAACGTGTCATGCGAGAGTATAAAATGTTCGGTGACACCCGAACTTAGCCCTTCCTTACTTCTTTTTAATAAATTTTTTCAACATGTTGCAACAGATATTATAATAATTGTGTTCATTGTGTCGGTTGTTAGTTATAATTTTACTAATTGTTGCTACTGAACAAGGCGCTAAGCATTTTTAATATCACAACAGAAATGCGCATTAACAGTTGCATCGCCAAGACATTGTGAAAAGAAGAAAGCGATGTAAAAATTTTACAAGGGCGTGGCACTTAAGCGTGAAATCCTATATATGTGCGGTCATAGCCGAGCTAACAACAGCGCGCCAGTCGTTTCTTTTTTCCACAAAGTGGCAATTGGAGATTCCAAGCGAAGCCAGGTCCTTTTCTTCCTGGTCTTTCCAACGGAGTGTTGGTCTTTCTCTTTTTCCCACGGCGGGTACTGCGTCCAAAACTTTCAGAGCTGGAGCTGATCAGCCAGAGTAGCCGCTGTCTTTTAATTCGCTGAACTATGTCAATATCGTCGTATAACTCGTAAAGCTCAGCGTTCCATCGAATCCGATATTCGCCGTGGCCAACGCGCAAAGGGCCGTTGTCATCGTCCGTGCCTCTGCACCATATAGAAGGACTTGAATAATGAGTTTAATTTTTGTTCGTCGACAGTAAAGTACTCTACTGTTGGCAGGAGATATTCTGTGTTGGATTTCCAGGCTGACATTGTTGTTGCTGATAATACTGATTCCAAGATAGACGAAATTATCTATGACTTCGTAGTTATGACTATGGACAGTGACGTGGGAGCCTAGTTACGATTGCGACGACTGCTTGTTTGATGATAGGAGATATTTCGTCTTGCCCTCGTTCACTACCAGACCCATTTGCTTCGCTTGCTTATCCATTCTGGGGAAAGCAGAACTAACGGCGCCAATGATATCAATATCATCAGCAAACGCCAGCAGCTGTACACTCTTGTAGAGGATGGTACCTTCTATGTTTATTTCTGCAGCTCGAATTATTTTCTCCAGAACTAAGTCGAAAAAGTCACAGGAAGGAGAGTCACCTTGTCTTAAACCTCGTTTGGTATCGAACGGCTTGGTGAGGTCCTTCGCAAACCTGACGGAACTTTTGGTGTTGCTCAACGTCAGTTTAAACAGCCGTATTAGTTTCGCAGGGATACTAAATTCTGACATCGCGGCATAAAGGCAGCTTCTTTTCGTGCTGTCAAAAGCAGCTTTTAAATCGACGAAGAGGTGATGTGTTTCGAATCTCTTTTCACGGGTCTTTTCCAAGATTTGGCGAGTGGTGAATATCTGGTCAGTTGTTGATTTCCATGTCTATCTATCCCATCCCGCTGCAGCAAGAAAGTGGTCCGAGTCGATGTTGGGACCTCGGAGCGTACGCACGTCTAAAACACTGGAGACGTGTCTTTCGTCTATCACAACATGATCGATCTGGTTGGTGGCTTTTCGTTCCGGAGACAGCCCCGGCGAAGTCGATCAGCCTGAACCCATTTGGGAATCCTATGCCTCACTACTCTACAAATATCAAAATTCAATTTCCAAGTTGTACTGTGAGCTGAGATGAAACCGGATTACAACTACTTCCTATATTTACATATATTAGAATTTTAACTCCTATTTGATTCCTTCACTTTACAGTATTTAAGTCGAGATCGGACTGGATACCACATATGTGAAACTGAGATCCTACGGCTGATTTTTTACCAAAAATATCGTTATTTTTTATTTCGAATTATTTTATTATTTCGAATTATTTTATCTTTATTTCTATAGGGGAAARCAGCACTTTTCCGATTTCTTTGGCGCCGCGATTTTAAGGTACCGTTGGAAAGAGGAAGTCCTGATTAAAACATATAAGTACCGCAAAGGCTTAGTTTACGAGATATTCGACCCTAAAGTTTAAAAATTCGAACATTTCAAGAAGCTATTTCACCACATTAAACACACTTTATTCACATATTTCACTTCAAATTAATTAAATTACACTATAAACTTTTAAATAAATCGACATTTTACACTTTTAGGAGGTTTAAAATTGATTTCTTTCGTGCTTTTGAAGCTACATTTCACATAAGTTTTTTTTTTATTTACGATTTGTCTTTTATTCAACTCATGTGGCACACATTTTTCAAATTTTTGGATCTTTCCCACATGTTTCAAACGCTGTGACGCTTTCAAAAAAAATTGTTTTTTTTGCTTTTTCGAACATTTTTATTTCCAAAAATATTCTGTGAAATCGGCAATGTCGTATCTTGAATAGTTTTTGGATGGCAGTATTATAAAGAGAAATCGCTCGGAGGTACAAAGATATATAATATAAGTGAAACTTAAACGTGTTTTTCTCGAAGCGACATTTTTCAAAATTGCTGACATCATAACTCAACGAGAAATTAACCGATCGACTTCAAATTAAAACTGCCTCATGTCTGGCATTTGCTTAATTTTTTTTTAAATGTTCACAAAATGCCTGGCTATCGTCCCTACTAGATTCATAACGTTTCATAACATATTGACAATGCTATGACAAAGTTTATGTAAAAAAAATATGGGGAAAAATAAAAAAAATATAATAACCATTCACGTGCTTTTTAAGAATAAATTGGGTTTTTGTGTTTCAGATGATTCAAACATGAGAAATCGTGTCCGCCAGTGAAAAAACGCATCCCTTTCACAAAGCCATTTCTCCTACAGATGTCATCAAAAAATTCCGAAAAAAATTTTTTATACACTCCACGATATACCTCATGATATGTAAAAAAAAAGTTTTATGGTGGAATAAAAAAATTAAAAAAACAGGACAGATTACCCTAATGACCCCTTGAAAAAATTCCCGAAATTTTTCAAGCGCTACATTGATATAGCCCCTTAAAGGCTATTCCGGAAATTGACTTTAATAACTGTTGCCAAGATTGAAAAAAACATTGGCCAAGTGTATTTGGGACCAGGGGACGACGTAGATTTTGAAGAATAAATTAAGAATTTTAAAAGTATGAACAAAGTCTTGCTATTTTTTGCTCATAGTAGTACACATCACTAATTTGAAAATGTTTTTAAAACATAGGCATTCCTTACTTGTTTTTTGTAGAAATGGTTAACAAAGTCTTTCCACTCGTTTCATCTTTATTAATTTTAATTTACATAACATTTAGCGTGTCATAAAAATCGTTACTTCCTATCAAGAAACTTTGAATGTTATATGCATTATAGAAGTAAATTTTTCACAACTTATCTAAAGGACCAATCAATATTTAATACAACCTACCAAAAACTAATGACCCGAATTAAGTATATTATAGAACATTTACATAATTATCTTACTCAAGCAATCTTAGCAGTGAATAAAATCCACAAAAAGAAATTACGTGCAAAAATTTTTATAATCTTTTGATAGTAAATGATCTTTAAAATATGAAACATTTCAACATCATTTTATTGTCTTATTTTAGCGCCACAAATCCATGCAACCAGACTCAGAATGCAATAAACGCATTCGACTGAGACAGGGTACACCTAAAGACTCTACACCAAAGACTGTAACGGTTACCAAAACACCTTCGGCTATAAGTAATACGCCCAATTCTAGTAGAAAACAGGTAAATGCAGTTGATTCATAATAGCTAAATAGTGAATCCATAAACTTTCTATTGTTAATTATTATTTAATGTTGTTTTCGTTTATTTACGTCATAATTCAACAGAGTGATATAAGTCAATACTTCAGAAAGTTAACCAATGCTAACAGCACTCCTATGACTGACGATAATAATTTGCCAGGGTCAACAATATCGATAACGAAAGCTGATATTCCTGAGTCACCTGCTACGCAACTATTAAATAGGTAAGTTTTATTGTTATAACTTGTATATACTAAGTGCTTTTCAAAGTAAGCAGAGCTTTAAAAACAAAACAGGACAAATGGTTTTTTTCTCAAAATGAGTTTATTTTATTCAAATCAGTCTCCTTCTGCTACAATACAGCTTGTTGCAGGGTACAAAAACATGTCGAACGAGTGTTCTAGCTCGTTAGCCGGTATGGCCGCCAGTATGCCGGTGCAAGCCTTTTGAATGACCTCTACATCTGCATAACGGTTTCCATTTATGGGCAAATGCATTTTTCCGAAAAGGAGGAAGAGTGGTTAATGGTTAAAATGTGAATTTTGACCTCTTTAATGATGTCCTTCGAATATTGGATTCTGAGCAATTTTTGGTCGTCAGCCAATTTGTGCGGAACAATCCGTGCACTTTCGTAAGCCCAAATGTTTCGAAGATGTTTAACCGACCACTTCGAAAACGTTGAAACCACTCGTGCACTCTGTTACGGAATAGGCAATCATCGCTATAAACTTATTTCATCAATAGAAACGTTTCGGTCAAAGTTTTACCAATTTTAAAATAAAATTTAATGTTGGCTCTTTGTTCGAAGCTCATACTGACACTTCAAACGCAATAACTTCACTTCCAATCAATGAAATGTCATGAAATCCTCACCGGACAATCGATAAAGATAGCAGATTCTAACTCACCAGTCGACATATAGATGGTGCCACCAGAGGGCGCTAAATTCCAAAAAGTCTTGTTTACTTTGCCAAGTGTGTTAAACATTTTTTTTGTTTTGTTAAATACATTTTATTTGCAATCTATTTTAGTAAATAATAAGCGAATTTGATAACAAGACCATGAGATCAAAAATAATATACAATATTGCAAAATGTTCTAAATTCAAATGTTTATATAAAAAATTTAATTATACATTTATTATATAAGTAACATATGTAATTAAACATTAACTTAATTCCTAAATGGGAGATCTAGGACATGTTGTATTTTAAGTCTAATAGTCTCATTACTATAATCTAATAACTTGACTGCCAAAGGATTGTCATGGTAACTTATCCTGTGCAAATATGCTGAACTAAATCTTTTAATTTCATCTTTAACAAAAGGTATATTCAGGTCTGAATGAATGGCTTTATTTGTTATGAACCAAGGCGCGTTTGTAATTAATCTTAAAGTTTTCGATTGGTATCTTTCTAGAATTCCAATATTTGAATTACAAGCAGTGCCCCAAAGTTGCACACCGTATATCCATATAGTTTTTAGTATAGATTTATATAATAGTAATTTATTTTCAAGATGTAACTGCGATGTATGTCCAAGGAGCCAATAAAGTTGTTGGGTTTTTATTTTTAATTGTTTATTTTTGGCTTGAATGTGCTGTTTCCAAGTTAGTCGTTTGTCCAAGTGCATGCCGAGGTATTTAACGCTATCACTTTTAGGAATAGTATTGCCATTTAAAAGCAAAAGAGGGCAGTCGCTTCGTCTTAATGTAAATAAAACGTTTACGGATTTACTCACGTTTACTTTCATTTTCCAGCAATCTAACCAAGTCTGTTCTGTTGAAGTTCTCTTTGCACTAAATTAGTTCCTTTAATTGGCGTCTGTCTTGATGACAATAGAGCAGTGTCATCAGCATAAGTAGCAATTAATACATTTTCAGTTTCAGGAATGTCAGATGTAAAGATGGTGTATAGTATAGGATCAAGAACGCTTCCCTGTGGTACTCCTGCATAGATGTATCGTCATTTATCTTTACGTAAAACGGCCTGCTTGTTAAATAGGACTTGAGAATTGGATATACTTGAGAGGAGAATACTTTTTTTAATTTGTATAAAAGACCATGATGCCAAACTTTATCAAATGCTTGTTGTATGTCTAAAAACGCAGCTGAACAATATTCTTTACGTTCTAAAGCATCAATAATGTAATTAATTACACGGTGGCATTGTTCGGGAGTACCATGATATCGACGAAACCCAAATCGGTGTTCAGGTATCACCTTATTCTCTTTTAGTATTGCCAATAGTCTGCGCAAAAATATTTTTTCAAATATTTTGGAGAATAGAGACAACAAACTGAATGGTCTGTATGAAGTGATTTCGTTCTCAGATTTAGTTAAAAAAATAACGGAAATTTTTATTTTTCTAAAAAAAAAAATATTTATTCATTTGGCTACATTAATGATGTTGCTTTCAAAATGGTTGCCATTCTATATTATACACTTATGCCAGCGTTTCTTCCAATTATCGAAACTCTTCTCAAACTCGATTTTTGCAATAACCCTTACCTCTTTCAGTGAAGCACGTTTAATGTTAGCTATGCTTGTAAGGAGACGGACCTTTGAAATTCTGTTTTTTTTTTTGTTTTTTTTTGGAAATAGGAAAAAGTCACATCGAGCCATGTCTGGCGAATATGGAGGGTGAGGCATAATTACAAAACAAAATAATCAGGAATTCTTCTTATTTACTGGCGTAAACACCGCTTACAAGGTTATAGCCGAGTTAATAACAACGCAGCAGTCATTTATTTTTTTTTGCTATGTGGCGCCAATTGGAGAATCCAAGCGAAGCCAGATCCTTTTCCACCTGGTCTTTCCAACGGAGTGGAGGGCTTCCTCTTCCTCTGCTTCCCCCAGCCGGTACTTCGTTGAAAACTTTCAGAGCGGGAGTGTTTTCGTCCATTCGGACGACAGGAAGAAAGCAGAACTATCAGCACGTTTGTTGAGGCCAATGATATCGATGTCATCAGCGTATGCCAAGAGTTGTACTCTTTTATAGAAGATAGTACTTTCCCTATTTAGTTCTGCAGCTCGAATTATTTACTCCGAGAGCGGATTGAAGAAGTCACACGAGAGGGAGCCTTGTCTGAAACCTCGTTTGGGATCGAACGGCTCGAGGAGGTCCTTTCCGATCCTGACGCAGGCTTTGCTCAACGCCAGTTTACACAGGATACCAAATTCGGTCATCACGTCATAAAGGCAGCTCCTTTTCGTGCTGTCAGGAGCAGCTTTAAAATCGACGAAGAGGTGGTGTATGTCGATCCTCTTTTCAGGGGTCTTTTCCAAGATTTTGCGTAAGGTGAATATCTGGTCAGTTGTGGATTTTCCATGCCTAAAGCCACACTGATAAGGTGTAATCAGTTTGTTGACGGAGGTCTTTAGTCTTTCACCCAATACGCTGGATAGAACCTTATATGCGAAGTTGTGGAGACTTACCCCACGGTAGTTGGCGCGGGTTGTAGGGTCTCCTTTTTTATTGGGCTTGCTTTCGTTCGACCATATTCTACATAGAAACTGAAGCACGCTCCTTATCAGTTTCTCGCTGCCGTGTTCAAATACCTCGGCCGGCAATCCTTCAGCCCCTACCTCTTTATTGTGCTTCAGGCGGGTAATTGCAATTCGTACTTCTTAATGGTCGGGCAATGGAACGGCTGCTCCATCGTCATTAATTGGAGAATCGGGTTCGCCTTCTCCTGGCGTTATGCTTTCACTGCCATTCAGCAAGCTGGAGAAATGTTCCCTCCATAATTTTAGTATGCTCTAATCATCGGTTACTAGATCACCTCTGAAAGTTCTACAAGAGTATGCGCCGGTCTTGAAACGTTCTGTTAGTCGTCGCATCTTTTCGTAGACTAAGCAGTGAAATTCAAAAGCATGTGTATCGACATACATTTTTTTTATAATTGAGCTGTCAAAACCCGCAAAATTTTAATTGTAAAATTCCCAATTTTTTTTTTTTTAGCGAACCTCGTATATTTCTGTCCAAGCAATTTTTGCTATATTTAAACTCTTAAAAAGTTTTTCTATGCTCTAAGGCAAGGTGAGCGTTAAAGTTATATCAAACTTTTTGAAAAGAAAAGCTAAATAATAAATAAGTACTCGATATTAAAGAATAGGACGAATTGAACTTATTCTCAATGTCTTGTCACATTTTAAGGTGTTTTATGTTTTTATACTCGCAATTAATATACTTATAACTTTAATGCCAAATATTAATGTAAAATTTTAATTTCGAACATTTTGTATTTAAAAATGTAAACAAATGTTACTTAATGCAAACCTTTTTGGCGCGAATTTAAAAATCATAGGCTTTATGAAAACCTACTAAAATAAACACAATACCTGTATTTAATAGCTTACTTAATACTAACTGTTTTAAGAATGATGCGCAACCATTTCTAATTAATAGGAATTTTGAGAGAGTGTTTTCAATCTAAATATTGTACCATATCCTCAAGGTAGCCATCTTGGTCCAATTCTGTTCWTGTTATTTATTAATGACATATCATCTGTTGTTAAGTTTTCAAACGTTTTATTATATGCTGACGATGTAAAACTTTTTAAATCATCCACCTCAAATAGTGAAAGATGTCAGTTGCAAACTGACTTAAATAACCTAGTTTCTTGGTGTGATAGAAATGACTTGCCATTGAATCTTAAAAAATGTAAAACGATGTGCTTTTCACGTAGATCTGTAGACCCTATTTCATACGTAATACAAAACTTACGGTTGGAGCAAGTATGCAGTTTTGTTGACTTGGGAGTAACTATGGAC